GGGTCGTGAGGCATGTGATAACAGGGATGGACCCCAGGTCCCTGCACTTGCCTACGCAGGTGCTTAGTCAAGTATCACAAGATCTTGCTGGCCCGAGCATGTAGCTTTTCTTAAAAAAAAAAAAAAGAAAAGAAAGAAATTCTTCATCGTATTTGATTCAGATATTTGCAGATAATTAATCTTGAGCTACTGTGCACTCAAACATGACTAAGTTACCTGTGCCTTCTCTCACAGGTCAAGTCAAGTTGACTTTAAATTTACATCAGGCTGCCTTGGAACTTGGAGCGCACACTTACACAGAGGCAAGGGTGAGGAAGAGAGTCATGTTGGACATAGTACACTGGTGACAGGAGCAGATCCCACGCAGAAACATAAACCTGGATTTAAGTCAGTCTTTATGTTAGCTGCCGTGTGCCCGTGGGCGAGACACCCAGCTTCTCTGAGCCTCAGTTTCCTCACCTGTAGAATCAGATTTCCTTTTGTCAAATATTAGATGACTTGATGTATGGCAGGGCCCAGCCCTTAGTGCATGCTTAACCTGGGCGCTGTTCATTCCATCTCCTTCTTCTGGTCCTCTGAGATCTTCAGCCTCTTGTTTGCCGCAGCATGTTCTCATGTTTCTGCATGGTGGTATCCATGCAGGCCAAGGGGTAGAGAAGGAAGCTTCCACCAGGGATAAAGTAGGTAAGGAGAGTTGCCAGACCTCTCAAGACACAAAGATATACTTGGGATGAAAGATCTAAGGAGCATTTGCAGCTAGGTTTGCTAGTATGTTATTTTCAGCATTTAATTAGTCTGCACAGTGTCATTGTTCCCTCTGATAGATGAAGCTGATGCCTGAGAAATCAAGCAGCTAAGGATAATCATATGATAAGCTGGATTTTGAAATATGGACCAAAGGTCACCTTCCTTTCCCTGTAGCAGACTACTTTCCTAAGGCGCGACTTCGACCTTAAAGAGTTTGTACTTTCGCAAGGCAGCTAAGATTTGTTGGTCTAATAAAGGCAGATTGATTTATGAGCTAAATACTGGGTCCATCACTAGAGATGAATTGTGTTGAACAAAGTGCAACTGCTTCGGTGAGGCTGATAATTTAGTGATACATTCACAGCCTCTGCTGTGACCTATCAGAACTTGAACTAGTCTGAGGGTAAAAGGAAGATTTTGCCCAGCGGAAATGACATTGAAGTAAGGGTCTGAAAGTGGGTAGAGTTAAGTAGGTTAAGGCAGGCAGGACTCAGAGCAACGGAGATCTTCTAAGTAGAGAAAACAGGCCTTGCCAAGGCCCTACGGTAGGAAAGGTCAAGGTGGCTAGAGTCCACAGAGGGAAGGTCAAGGGGACAGATACCCGAGGTAAGGTGGGACAGGTAGGCAGCCAAGAGTAGGCATGGGGAGTGGGTGAGGGGTTATGCCATGATCATACTTCGTTATTTTTAAAGACCATTTTAGGTTCAGAATAAAGAATGAATTGAAAGGAAGTTAGTGCCATGGAGGGGGTCGGGCTGGATCCTGTTGCGGTAGTTTAGGTGAAATGGAATGTGACAAATGAGAGAGGCAGTGTGTGGTGTACCAGCAAGGATAAATTGGTCAAGTTACTTAGTATCTCTATTTCTAAGTTTTCTTATATATAAAATAATTGTTATAGTCTACCTCCTGGGATCCTTGGAAGGCTTAAGTGTATTAAGCAGAGTAAAATGTACACCCTAATTTGAGCACGTAGTGCACGTTCAGGGACCATTACAGTTATTATCAGCAATGGAGATGGAGGGAGTTAGACAGAATCAGTAGCTATTCAGATCAAGTTGCCTGGCTCCAGGGATGCATGTGTTTGCAGAGTCGATGGCGTGAACATCAAGGTCGATGTGTGTATGTAGCAGTACGTACTGAGTGTTGTGAACATAGATAGCATGAACATAGTACGCTGGGCACAAGTTGGCCAGCAGGAGGAGAGGCTTCTTGGAGGAAATGGACCTTGAGCTGAGCTGTAGAGAAGAACATAGGCCGCGAACACAGGAAAGGACCACACAGGCCTGGCAGAATGAGCCGATGTTCTTCAGTTACCAAGACTGCTGCGAAAAAGTTGTTTTTCACCTGAAAGTGCTTCACCATCTTGCTTTGCCGGGAACTCTCTCAGGCTGAGTCACATATACTTAGTGATTCTGTGTCATCTTTTC